ACGATATATATATATACACACATATACATACATACAGGGTGGGTGGAAAGTAAGTAGGCATTGAGAAATGGTTATAACCTCTATATTTCCAATGAAATGATATTATTTAATGCCTACTTACTTCCCACCCACTCTGTATACATATATCTGTGTGTGTGTGTGAGAGAGAGAGAGAGAGAGAGAGAGGAAGATACATAGATTCTTGCTAAGCGATAGAAAACACTCCCTGCATTTAATTCTCTCTAGACGTATTCTTGAATGTAATTGTGATCTGTTACGGTAATATTTAAATATTGCAACTTCTCTGAATTTTTAACCCTCTGATACGTTTAAGTGTACTTATATTATGATTTTTCGTTTATTCTCACACACTGTGCACATAAAAGCCATTTTAAGAGCACATCTTATAATACGTGATGAATCACATAGGGAGTAACTCCAGCCAAAAGCTTGTTGTATTAAGAGGTGTCCCCCCACCCCCGTTCGTTTGGATGACGTACTTCTGTAGTTAATGTCTTCCATTTATGATGCGGTCTCTAGCGAACTATTTCCCCCGCGAATTCGCTTCAAGCAAATCAAATCTGGAACGTCTTTCCACCTTTACAGAGGCCGCATGACTTCCAATCAGTATTTGGTCTCGTGACGTGTAGGAGCAAATAAACGCAATCGAGACACGTAATAATCTTTATGAGTGAGAATGGATCCAATTATGTCACAATATTGCTCATGGGTAGTCAGTTCACTGATTACATTCTATATAGCCGTAGTGGCTAAGCAGGGGTGATAAATTATTTTTATCCGGACGCTGAATGGAGTGACTGGTACTCGGAGAAACTGTCCATAAATTCTGTGTTTAACAATTATTAAATGGCTAGACTCTCCATTATTCGCACTTACTGCTGCTAGGCCTATTTTAATAGATATAAAAGTACATAAAATTGCAATATCAGTAACTGGTTCGGACATCATATTTTAGAATCTGACTTCGTATTTTAGCTTAAAATTGTGTGTGTGTGTGTGTGTGATGAATAATATATTATTTTAATTCACTGTGCACGTAGACAGTTGTTAAATATACACGTTTTAAATTATTGTGCAAAAACCACGATATTTTAACATAAATCATTTCTCATAAGACCGTTGACAATTTACAACGTAAATGCTATATGGAAACCATTTAACTTGTAAGCTGTGTTAGTAAAACTCTTGCGATAACGAATCTATATAAGGTTGTAATAATTATGAACAAACAATACTGAAGAGTGTACTCTTTTATCTGTATTGAAACCCTTTGAAGCCTAAGTTTATTTAAAAATTATTTAAGTATTCAGTACGTACCTAAACAAAAACACACTTCTCCATTACAAAGATTAACTGGTTAACGCTATTAGTGAAATAATCGCTCTTTACTCTGTGAATCATACAAAAATCTCTAAATATAAAAGTCAGAATAATTTATTGTCAAAGCAGTGGTATATATAGTTACCACTGGGTTTAAATCTTTAAACGCATGCCTGTTTATTTTGTGGGAATGTTTAAATCATTCATGTATTATTGTCGAGTAAAATACCTCTAAAAGCCGAGAGAATATTGTGTTCAAAATTGCGTACTCATATAAGGGCAGGTGTAATAAAATCATTTTAACCAATCCGAAGCCATTTGATGCACACATAGGGAATACAGAGAAAGGGGCCACGATAATGTAAACAAAGCCAGTGACACACGGAGAACTCATAATACCGGCATTTTTCAAGGCCACTGTATAGCAGCTGGTTCCTTCTGTGTTCCCTATAGGTTTAAGAAGAGTGACGTCACAGATGGTAAAATTGTTTATGGAGAAATGTTGTATAACGTATGCTAAGGGTTGAATTCGTCTCGCACTGTGTGTATCCTCTGTCCTTTATCGTACCTGGCTATGAGTAATTTTAATTAATTCTTTCACAAAACGCTGCTTTTTTTAAACATTCGAACAGTCGTCTCTTGTCATTCTGAAGTATTTTTTCACAACGATACACAAGTACTATTATGATTCTTTGATAGAGAATTATCTGTTAGCGGTATGTGATATTTAAAAATTGAAGAAAAAAAATTAAATTCTAAAATTTTCTGCATTTCGGAGACTGGCTTTTTAATTCTTCAGACAAGAACAGTCTGTGAGAACCAGTGATGAAGACAGACCCCACATAGAACGTATATTCTTGCCTGAAGAATTAGAAAGTCAGTCCCCGAAACGTAGTAAATTTTAGAATTATATTTTAATTTTTAAGCAAGACTCAATGGATAATGGCGTATCAGAATTCGTAATAAGCATCTCTTTGTTCATTATTTTACGAGGTACATAACGTATTCTTTAAGGCAGGGGCTGTTTTGTGAGGAACTTGAAGCATTTGGCTGTGTTGTGATGTGAGCCCCTGCTTCTGCGGCCCCGGGAGGGGGAGTGTGCATCTGTGCAGCCACACGTATTGTGTGTTTCGACCATATTTCACATGTGACAGGTGCAATATTGCCCAATTGCTCGGTCTTGTCTGATATGAGGTGTTATGTTGGATACTGGGCGCATCTGTGGCCATGTTTCAGTCCAAGGGGACCTGACAGAGAAGAGACTGCAAAACACAAACAGGTTAAGAAAAATATTGGAAATGGTATGGCAAGGAAACTTAGAGAAACGGGGAAATAAAAATAAATATTATCGCATGATCCTAAGTAAAAGAAACAGAACATAAATAAAGTTGGAGTTCTGTTCATTTGTTTCTGGGTGTTGTGATTCCTCATGATAACTGATGCTGTTTGCAGCTGGTTTGTGGCATGAGGGATTCTCTCTGTTCCTGACTTCTGTTGATTCATTCAAGTGAACAAAAAAAAACAGAGCTAAAACCCTTCAAAATAACAATATTATGTCACCAAAGTCTAATTATTTATCTCATCATGCTTGTCCAAATTTCCTTATTATCACGGCGTTAATGCAACTATGGAATGTATAAAACAAATTAATTCTGGGCGGAACTGTAGTGAATCCTTTACGTAAATATGTCGATCTATATACTAAAGCTAGCAAGAACTTTAAATTGCTAATCTTACAATTTGATCAACAGTTTTGTGCGTAAATTTTACTAGTACAGAATCCAACTACGTACGTTATGTTTGTCATATATACCTTCAGTGTTTTAAACTGAAGCCGTAATTATGTTAACAATTACAGCATTTTGAAATAAAATTTCTGTGTGTGTGTTTTTATCTGTATCAATACTAAGTTTTAAGACATCTAGATTCAGTCTTCCATTAACTATCGCTATGAAACACAAGATAGAATATAACTTTCGCTGTACCTTTGTCTAGTAGTTTTACATTCTATAGAAAATTGCCTTGACAAAAGTTTGAAGTTTTATAGGTACGTAAAACTTCAGGTTCAAGTCCAGTGACTAGCTCACAACTGTTTAGTCACCAAAGATTATTATTGATCTTTGTCTTTAAATTCTGCTGTACACCTTGGTATTATTCGACCATGCATAAGTGATACGATTATTTACTGTATTCTTCAGTTGAGAACTGTCTTATGATTAGTCGCAAATGTCCATTCTTCACTTGATAACTGTCTTATGATTAGTCGCAAATGTCAGAAGGAAAATTATGCTTCAGTTTGTATCTTGGGGAACCAAACAAATACATGTTTTTAATCTCTGGAAATAGAATATCGTTTATAAAATCTTTAAAATCTTAGTAAGATATTCTTTAGCAAATATTGCATTAAGTACACTTGTAAAATCGTATTTATTTGCACTGCGTAAATATATATAATTGACATTATTGTTTATTTACGTGAAGTAATCAGTTTATCCGTTTCTAAGAATTGGAATGCTATACGACAAATGAAACCTGGTGTTTCGGTAGAGTGTGATTGATACTTGAAAGCCAAACTGTAGTGGAAAAGAGTCTATCTTACCTAAAAGGGAAAGATTGATTTAATTTATTACATGTTGTTGAAGTAAGTTTGCTTAACAGCACGTCTCACCAGACAAGGTAACATAATCAGTACTGCATGGGACTGCCCGACGTCACGTACAACTGGCGTCATCTAATTTTCTTACTTCACCAAACGCAGAGAAATAAGAAGAAATGAGACATGGACAGATGGGAAAGAGACGATAATTTTCATTTTCGTCATAAGTCGAAATTGGAGTTATGAAAGGAATGAAGTGTTTACCTCGACATTTTTTTTTCGCCCTACAAATCTAATATTTCATCCACGCTTATTTCTTCTATAAACGTACTGGTGCATATGAGAAGTTATAAAACGACTCACATTTCGGCTTTGATGTGTGTTATTTCTGTTTTACATTTTTAAAAAAACTGGTCAGATTCTGAAATGAAAGACACTCAGTGTGTTTGAGAATTAAATGCGTAGGAAAATATTTGTATCTAGGGGACTGAAAGTGGCTAAACTGTTATATAAGTAACATACGATTTAATTCAACTGTCTGGTATTGACAAGACTTTCAATCATGTGGCTTCAAGATCGTTCTCAGATCATGAATTTAATTATAAGTAAAAATAATTAATTCAGGGTCTAGGTCTTGTAGTGCGCTGACTTTCATATGTCAGTTGCTAGGTTGAAGTACATACTTTGTGCCCTTCATTTATTATTTATGCATATAGAAGATTAATCTACTCGTAATTTGGGCACACAATCATCACGTAAGAGATTCAGGGTCTAGGCCTTGTAGTGTGCTGATTTTCATATGTCAGTTGCTAGTTTGAAGTACATTCTTTGTGCCCTTCATTTATTATTTATGTATATAGAAGATTAATCTACTCGTGATTTGGGCACACAATCATCACGTAAGAGTTAACTTAAAATATGTGATATATATAAGCTATGATCAATTTTGTTATTTTACTATCTTACAGGTTATTTTAAAAAATCCAGGACCAAAGGATGCTTAGACAGTTAATGTAAATGTTAGCTATGGATACTACAATAATTGTAGGTGTTATTTTTGCAGGTGGACCGGTTAGACCTCGTTCGGTGGCCGGGATTGCCATGGAGATGTTCGAACAACATCAAGGAACACATATCTTGCAGGTACGTTGCTTATATATGATGCAATAGGTACTCATGGATTGCGCACAAATGGTACAGTAAATTGGCTGTTCATGATGACACTCCTCGTGGCGTATCAGTGGCAGTTGCATTCTGTAGACATCGACTATCGTGACCGAGGGATTTTTTGTTTCTTCAGTTTGTCTTGACGTAAGCCTATACCAAGACAACTTGTCGATAAATCCAGTCGTGTCAATTTTCAGATGTGATCGTCCAACTATAATATCGTAAATTTCTAATAATATTTAGACGCGCGTTGCGCTGAGTTGCCAAACGTTGGATGCCTTTCTCGAAGAATTCCGAAAGTTGCTGCTGGAAGGGGTTCTTTTGAACCACAGCCGTATACCAACCAATGAGAATCGTAATGTGGCAAGAAAGGGAACGATCCATTCAATAGAAAGTGTTGCTATGTGACGTCAACATTTTGATTGTTAGCCAGAGACTTCAGCGTCATCACAGATGACTTGGAGTCGTGCTAAAATGTATAACAATATTTAGCAACAATGTCGGCTATGCTGTGCGGCAAAGAAACTACGTGTTTCATGTTGCATATATTCTTATGTACTGTACAAAGGATTCCGGTGTGAACTTTATGGCATAAAAGTATCAGAAGCTGTAACAACGGCCGAAGACTGAGTCTTTTTCTTTTCCGCCCAACCAATTTGTGAAACTCTTCTTCGTCGTTCTCTCTTTTTTCTTCTGAGCTGACGTCTGCTCCCTCCGGTGTATAAAGAATGGGTCTGACGTCGTGACGCGAATAACTGCAAGCCAGGAACACGGGCGAGTCTAACGCCAGGGTCGTGTGAAGAGGCGCCCCTGAGCCTCCTCTTTCTTGCCAAGTTTATGTGTGAAGGATTTTCTTGAAAAGGAAGCTATTGGTTGCTGGTGCTATATTATAATAATGACATGTGGGATGACTCCTAAAAGGTGCGATGTATGGTGATCATAAAATGCCCTATGATAACTGTATTACAATTTATGTGATGGAAGTAAGAATTGATTTTAATGGAAGGTATATGAAAAACGATTTAAAAATATGATGTAATTTTTTTTATAAAGATTCTGTGTCAGAAGCTTTCCATCTAAGGTTGCTGTAGAGATATTCTTACGTTATGATGGTTTCCTGTACCAAATGACTTGCGAATGCATTTCGTAATGTGCAAATTAATTTGACCACAAGCCCTTTTGAGTTTTTAAAGTACCAATGGAACTCGTAATGCCTTTAGGTCTGATGAACTACCCGATAGAGCATGAGGTTGGAATCGATTAAAAGTATTCTTTTGGTATTGAAAATTCAGAGAAAGAATATGCGAGAGCTTCTGAAATTTGTAAGTACGTAGATCAACGTATGGTTTCTCTTCTTTTATATTTATTATATTGCCTAATTGCGTCTCAAGGCAAGAAAGCCGATACAACGTGAGAAACAGTAAAAGAAATTTGAATTTGAAATTCTTTTTAACATTTTAATAAGAACTGGTTCTTTAATTGTTACGTACAGACAGAAAAATTGTTAAGCTAATTGGTGTATTTTTACAGTTTTTTGTTACAAACTCAACTAAAAATGCCTCAAGAGGAATACGAACCCACGAGCTATAAACTGTATGCGCTTTGAGCAGTAGAGTTACTGTGATTACACAGTTAATCACTGTGACGTAAATTATTTGCATATTTTGATACTAACTGAACCAAAATTGGCTTTTATCATAATTATTGGAAGACATTTATTTGCGTTCTGCCAGACAATAAATATATCGGGCCATATCTACTTTTCTGTTTATCTGATTATTTTCTGCTGTTCTTAAAATCATTAACGCGGTCTGAAAGAATATTAATCTACAAGTATCTGACTTCTGTCCAGGGATTTCTTTTTAAAACGGAGGTGTTAAAGTGGATTTGAAATAGTAGGCGGACAAACACTTTTCTTGTTCTGAATGTAATTGAAACCTTGGGTTATGTGACGGCGGTGCGGAATTCAGAACAGCAGACTATCCCCGGCGCCCCTTTTCAGGGACCGAGAAACAAACAGCACGTCCTGCTCTGTATGAGATCGAACGAACCTAAAGATTTATGTACACACTGCAACTGTGACGCTCCTTGTATCAGTGCAGTGCTAGAGAGAGTGTCTGGGGACACATCGTCAAGAACTTGTTTGGTTCTCAAAAGGTTTCTTGATTTATTACGACATAATTGTGTTGGTACTATTCATTGCCTTAAGTCTGATGTATAGCCTAATTAATATACTAAAGGGTGTAAAATATAAATTTAATTACAAAGTTTTTACATAGTAATATCAGAAAAACAAACTGAAGTTATTATGACACTGTGTTTCTGCAAGCCTGGATGTCACACTGCTTAGTCTTGTTCGTCCAACATAAGTTTCTATTTAAATTTGAGGACCACAAAGGCTGGAAGCCTGAGTATATACGAATCCGTGAAGCTAACAAGAATGCGTGGAGCTTATACCTCCACTAACCCATAAATCTACAACGCTTGCTTAAAAACATCAGGTGTAAATTTATGTAAGATTATAGTGTAATTGTGTAACAAGTTTTAAAGTGTGTACTCTTTGATGTGCAACGACATTCTAAAGGTGTTCTTCACGTCACGTCACATACGTCGTTGTTGCACTAATGTTGTCCGAGGATATTGCTACGTATTAAGTCATTCTTGCACTGTGACCCCAGGACACTGTTGCGTTACAGTGATTCCAACAATGGCAACTCCAAATTTTCAGCGTATTTAAACGGTACAGAGAGTGATTTTGGCAACTCTTAAGAAAAGCCAAGTTGATTGTGGTGCTTTGCGGTGTGTCATGCAGTTCCTGCAGGGAGCCGGAAAGTGACAGTTGCTTTCTGGTTTATCGGTGAAGGCGCATCAGAAGAGGAATTAGAAGACGTTGGGGAGCGCTGTTATAACCTGTTATGTTCGGCCCCCTCTGTTTTGTGATCGTACTCTGTGTTTTGGCGTTGCAGTCACTGGATGGGTTCGCCTTCGCACTAGCGGCCGACGGCCGTTTCCTGTACATTTCGGAGACTGTGTCCATCTACCTGGGGCTGTCGCAGGTTAGTAACATTAAACACAAGTAAGTTATATGCTATTAATATTTAGTTTCGACACGTTGCATTCCACATGAATCCACACCAACTGAAGAACACGATCTGACACACTACAGCAACGCCCGAATATGGAGACTTCAACGAGTCTACCAGAACCCAGAAGAAGGTAATCATCATATTTACAGCCGCGAAAAACTCAGGTAAGAAAAAATTGACCTTGCAATCTATAGTTTTCTCAATAACTGTGTAATGAATAGTCTCCGATGTTTAATTATTCAGAAGTCTAGACATGTTGAAGATTTAGTAACAACGGGCTGCTATACATATTGCATTTGACGGTATTACAGAACTGTATTAAAGATATTCCTCTTATTCAGTTAAAACTATTATAAATTTACTTTCGAAAACAATTAAAAGACACGGAAAAGATGTTCTTACATGCTTTGTTCGTGACATCTGAAATGTGTAAAGAATTATAATTTAAAGAGCTCTGATAAATTAAACCTATAATCAGGTCTAAAAACTAGCCTATTAGTCAGATGCCTAGGACGAGACAAAATTGGCTGACCCCAGGTGGAAATTTTATGTTCTTAGAAATCGTAAAATATGAAAGTAGTCTACTCTTTCATATCAATTTCTTCTTCGTGTTGTCGACTACCACAGACCTGGCCAAAGCTATTCGGGGGTGACTGCTCCGGGCTGGACGACCGGAGTTCGATTCCCAGCTGACAGAAATTTTCTCTTTGCCACCACGTCGAGAATGGCTCTGTGTCGCACACACAGCCTACTACCAATGACTGCTTGTGATAAAGCGGTCGGAGCTTGAAGCTGACCATTACTTTTATATGTGCTGGGTTAATATCGTCTGTCACTAGATTATACCCAAAATAAAATACAGAATGATCTACCAAACAGTTTGATGTACGTCTGCAAAGATGGTGGAACAAGAACAACTTTTATCTCAATGGCACTTTGGTGTTTAGATTCATCCACTAGGTGGCAGCAGTTGTCTGCTACTTAGTAAGTTACGAGCCCAACCATAGGCTTGACGTCATTACTGTGAAGTTACACCTCGTGTTTTATTTTATCAATATATTTGTCTCTTTATGTTCAGTTTGACATTTGATGTCTTTGTCGAACATCGGAGGTAGATGGAAAGAAAGTTCTCAGAGGGAGGTTCTTGAGGGGCCATAGGCATTTGAGAGGAGGGTTGGGCGTAGGTTTACAGATTTACTTTGGCCGCTCCTTCTTGTACCGTATTTCCATTTGCTCTTTTCGTGTTCCTCAGTCTTGGTAGCATCTTTAGAATGTCTTCCCTTTTACACTGCTGATTGTTATCATGCCCTCTTTGATATGCTTTTTTTCACTTTTTCCTGTCTTTTTCTCTGTTTTTGCTTCTATTTGGGCTTTATCATTGTGCTTCTCTTCACCTTATTTTCACGTTTTATATTAATTTCTGTTGCTGTCGAACTGCCTAAGACGTCAATTTTCGCATAATTTTCTCCCTTCGTTTCTGTTATAATGCCAATCCCGGCTGCCAATATGACGATCGGCTTGATGATGGAGGCAGAAAAAACCTATGAAACATCAGTAAACTTGTACGAGTCTACACGGCTCAATATCCCAGAAGGCTCTCATCTCATCCGTCTTCCTCTCTTTGTCTTCTTTCAGTCCTTTCTGTTTTCGCTGTTTCTTCCCCTCTCTTACTTTGATGTCCATTGTCGGTTCTCTTTGTATCTGTCGTTCTTATTCCGGCTACTCTTTTAACCTTGTTTCTTTCTTCTTCACTTTCCTGGCTATCACCTTACTTGTCTCTCTGTTTCGCTGCCAGGAGCAGCACCAGAAAGGCGCAGTAGCCATTCTGAGTTCGTACTTAAATGCTTCTCACGTACACACTGCAGAGTCGTGTCTGCCATTCCTAATGCTGGAGGGAGGTTTACAATCAATAGGGTGGTACTGCTGGTACGTGGAAGGGGTTGGGTCGTAACATGGCCGCCAACAAGAGGCAAAGCCCCCCTGCTGGTATGGTACATCCTATAGTAAGGACCAAAATGCGATGTGCCCACACAGAAACATTTAATATGGCCGATAAAGAGTTAGTTATTCTTTGGCTCATGGCATGAAACAACAGCTAAAAGTTACAAATCTATTATATCATATATAAATACTAACCACAAAGCTAATTACATTATAATCCTCCCCCCCCTCCACTATGGTTTGATTTTAGACTATTTTCCAAAATATCAAGTTGCTGAATCAAAACTGATATTGGGGATGATTGTATTTATACAAAAGTAGACCTATTATAGCATTTTTATACAATAAGTGGCGTAACTCCGTTATGCATACGCCTATTCAGCTGCTCAGAGAATTTCTTGTTTGTTTGTTTTTTACAAAAACCTAATATTCATTGCTGTATTTACAAAAGCCAGACATTCAACACTGTCCCGTGTTAATTGAATGAAATTTCTTGACTCACCCTCACACTATTTCTGAAATACTCATTTCAAAATTATTCTTTTGTCTGTGTCTAGATCTCCCAAATGGTCTCATCCTCTAAGGGTTTCCAGCTGAAATACTTTATTCATTTATCACGGTTTTCCAACTTCAGCAATACATACATTTTTTAAACTGGTTAACGTATTGAAAATTGCTCGTAATACTAGATTAGAATAGACAGCAACTAAAGTATTCTACTCCATGGGATCTGATTTCAAATTGGTTCCTGTGTGTTGTGTCTCGTAGAAGCTGGAGCCTGAGTTGATCAGAACAGTAGAATCAAAAATATGGCCACGTGTGTAATATGGTTCATGTGTATCCGTGTGAGGATTTCTGAAAGTTGCAGATGTAGGAAGTTTGATGCAGGTGTCCATAACATCCGGTTCCTCATGCTTGTCACTCATACTACGTGAGTCGTTAATAAAATATCTATCTTCTCCTCCTACACCGACAAGAAACCACCGCTCCCTTAAAACAATGCGCATTTGAAACTTGTTGACTCAAGTTTCAATTCTTCTAGCTTAGTAGATCTACTCACTAAAGCAGTGGTATTCAACCTTTTTTTGTTCGCGTACCCCCAGATATAATTTCTCTTCAAGTTTGTACCCCCAAAGTTGTTGGTGTATAATTCAAGTTATACGTAGTATATAATCTACATCTAAAATAAATTCAATAAATTACATTACTGATTATTCAGCGTTTATCATAAAATAATATATATTTTTTTAAATTTCACGTACCCCCTAAGATGTCTTCGCGTACCCTCGGGGGTATGTGTACCCCAGGTTATATACCACTGCACTAAAGTGATAAGTACTTGACACTTGTCATCTTCATGTCGGAAAAGCATTGCTTGAATTTTGCAACACTGTATGACGAAATAATGTTCGTCTGTATTGTTGATAAAATTTGTTAACAACACGCTTTTATTTACAACAAATTCATGCGAAAGCTTCACTCATAGACAAGTAAAACATCTGAAAAGTTTCTTACCGACTGAATTAAATTATTACGTCATTATTCTGAACATTGTCTGTCATCTTTTGTTAATGCATATTAACCCCTTCAGTGTTAAATTTAATTGGGGAAAAGAATAGGCCCATCTATTTTTCATTTCTGCATTCTTTGATAAAAGTTCGCAAAATGATATTCTGACACAGATATAGCAGGTCAGTTTATTCTGCTTACAAGTATGATAAATTCCGAAGCTGTTCACAACAGAATAGTTAAGTCTTTTTAAAGAAATATCTCGTCCACATCATCGAAATGGTTAATTATAAGCCTATTTCAGTCATTAGGCAGTGTTTTACATGTGACGGTATAAGCCTGTGTGTACATATTGTCATACAACCAGAGTTATGTTGTGAGATTTGAGGTTTTCACATTGGTGAGTATGAAGATTTCTATCTTCTGGGTTGTTGCGCTGTGTAGTCTGGTCGATGTTTACCAACGTTTGAGAGGTCATACTGCCTCCGTCATCAGGGCGATTCTTAGTATGAAGATTTCTGTCTTCTGGGTTGTTGCGCTGTGTAGTCTGGTCGATGTTTGCCAACGTTTCAGAGGTCATACTGCCTCCGTCATCAGGGCGATTCTTAGTATGAAGATTTCTGTCTTCTGGGTTGTTGCGCTGTGTAGTCTGGTAGATGTTTACCAACGTTTTAGAGGTCATACTGCCTTCGTCATCAGGGCGATGATGATCAGAGACGTTGGTGGGTATGTACCAGACTACACAGCGCAACAACCCAGAAGATAGAAATCTTCAGAGTTATGTTGTACGCAAGGTTTCTTAGAAGTGCGATGCCTTAGTTAAAGGCTGTGCGCTTGGTTGCAGGTTGAGATGACAGGCAGCAGCGTTTTCGACTACATTCATCACCAGGACCACGCGGAGGTGGCCGAGCAGTTGGGCCTGGGACTCGCTCAGGGGCAGAATCTCTCGTCACCCAACAGCGCGGGCTCCGAAGAAGGCGTAAATTCCACAACCGGAACCAACAACCCCGATGGTGAGCCGTGTTTTCCGATCTGTGCGATGAACTTCAAAGGAAAGAACATTAGACCGAGAGCAAAATTATTCGGATATAACTTGGTATTTCATTTCCATTTAGTTAAGATGTTATGCCATTTTAGGTGGTCATAAAACATGTCGATTGTGACTTGTTATTTGGGAATAAGACCGTACATTTAAAATAAGCTGGGAGCGAAGAAATTTCAGGTGACTTACCAGGTTCTTCCAGACTAGTCAAAGCCTTCTGCCTAACCTAACCCAACCTAAAGTAGTCTACTTACCATGGTTAGGTAACCTAAATTTTTAAACACGGATACATACAGACAATTTTGGTGGTTTTTTATCTTGTAGGCTCTTTCCAGCACTTGCTTAAAATGTCATAATTAGTAGGTAATTTCTGAATATTTAATCTCCGTAAGTACTTAATGCATTTAGGTAAAATTTAATTGTTATTGTGCTAAAACAACAGAATTTGTGGGGGGAAAATTAAAACGATTTTTAAACCCCAATTCTATATGAAGTTACACATTTTCGACAAAAAATATTAGCGTACAAAGAATTTATCCATTACATATATGCTCATCACAATTTTCATTATCCACGTGGTGTATTTTAAGATATGGTGAATACATGATGAAGACAAGTAAACAATTTTTGACCTCGTGCAATTTATCTGCTGAAGTACGCGAAGAACGCAAATTATAAAACTCCTCAATGTTCAGTTCTTTCCAGCCTCCTGTGACGTCATCTCTCCTAGGTCTAAATATTCTCGTCGCATTTCTCAGACACCTTAAACAACACCAATAACAATAATATGCCTTATTCTTGATTCGTACCTGATTGTCTGGAGGGGTATCATACTCTACTATATAAAATTTAAATCTGGCATAGTTAAATCAACCACAAGATTCCTCAATGCATTTGACTTCCTGCTATTCATTTCAACATAGTCATCTAGTTGGAGCGTGTTCTCTTTAGCATATCGATAAATCAATCGTCTTTTAGAAAGTCGATCACACGTACCTCCTCTGTTCCATTGGATCACACGTTGTTACAGAATTGTTAAATTAAACTCTCATTCGCATTCCAGTAGCGCACTTCAACATGAAAGCCATGAACGACTAACTTTCATAAGTGTTCCCAGAATACAGTCCCATCAAAACATTACGTAACACAAATCGAGTTTGTGTGTTTCCTTGACTGTCGCAAACTCACTTTTTCTTTGCACAATACGAATTGTGCATCGTGTAACTTTCTGGAGAGACAGACGCTTACTTCTAATCCTAAACATATATAACGAGAGACTGAATAAAATGTCACGCTGTGAAGCTTCATAATTGGTAAATTTCACCAAATATTGGTAGATCGATCAAATGAAGAATATAAGTGAGTAAGCATTTGAAAGACGATTAATACAAAATTTCGACGGCTTTGTAACTAGTGTGCTTGAATAATCGTATTTAAATAAACCAGGAAGAAACTTAACGATGTTGTTCTTTTGGGTTTTGGCTACGTGTGGACGTCGATATATGCCAAAAAACGAACCGTCTTACTTCAGCACTGAAGGGTCACAGAACGTTTCCCGTATAAGTTGGTAAATAGCCTACGTCGAATACAATTTAAAATAATCGTTGTATATTTTAATAAAGTCTGTAGTCTTGAATGTTGTCGAACGTTTTTACGAAGTGTTAACCCTCGGAAATTTCATAACAATCGGTTTGAGTTTCATAAAAATGTCTCGTTGACCAACGAAATGCCTCTAAATTTCTATTATAATCCGCCAGAATCAAATTTAATTTAAATATGGTCCGAAGAAGAAACATGTTGACGGTTAGACACACGGACACGATGTCCATATCATGCGTTCACTTTACTCCCACCGTGCAAAGAATACAATCGGAATATGAGTGAAAAATGTTTTCACATACGAATTGTCTTTGACTTCAACAACAGAAGGAATAACGCCATATAAGGTGCTCAGTATGCGGGTAACGTACCACGTTACATTATACCTGTGTATATCAGCATTGAACATACGCTGCAAGACTGATAATGGCTTCCCCTCTTGTGCTAAGTCGCCTCTTTTGTGTCATCCATTCTGGGACGTTGAGGAATGTGTGACCGATGTCCACGCCAAACCTTGTGCACTGCCCAATGTCTTTATACGGTGCAATGTTCAGCGCAAGAACACTCTTACAGCCCAACTACAGTCTCACAAAAACATTCCCGCTGTCACTCCATAGAAATACACTAACTTATTAACCTGTTTACATTTTGTAGATCTATCTCGTGGTATTAAAGGAGAAATGGTATCTTATCTTTGCTGATTTAGTTCCATTTCCGCCATGTGGCGCGATGGGAAGAAGAAATTGAACGGCGAAGTCCGCACGTGTTATTTTTGAGATGTCTCGGCGGTAAAGACGACGATGTTTTTCAGCCCTGAAGATAGGACATTATATTTACCCGAAACATTGGTATCTACTTATGGGTCCACACGATGTCACAGAAGAACAACATCGCCATCTGGAATGTACATTTTAAAATGTTATGAGTGATTTTATAGACGTAATTGACTATGATGTTGACTTAGCACAGACGTGTTCGAAATCGCGCCTTCTTCTGTTTTTTTGTGTGGCCCGACTGAGTACCCGAATTATACACGAGGTGCGTGCTATACGTCCCAGTTTCAGTCATTTTTAAGTCTGAAAGCGTGTTAGGTATCTACTGGCTTTGGGTTCTTTTATATTTTAATTAAATCAAGTTTAAAATTTGTTCCAATGAAATTCATATTTGTTGTGCTTGTGGGGAAGAATAGAGAAATGAAAAATACATGTTTAAACTTAAACTTAAACTTGGAGTTATGATCCCCCCCCCCCCCTCAAAATAAAATCACGTTTAATTGTGTGATTTCCATCTTCGTGTTATTTATTCACTCTTTCGCCCAAATTCTGCTCAGAATCTTATTAAATCTTGATAAAAGACATTTTATAGATATAATTACACGATGTTATGCATTTTTCACCTCAGAAGCCTTCCAAAAATTACGATACTCGATGAAATGTACATTTTTTCCTAGAAGTCTAAGGCGTGTTACTGCGTCTTAAAAATTTGCTGTCATTGGTAAATTACACAGCAGTGCGTCAGTTTATAAAAACGACTTCTTTGTAATAAAAGTTATTGAATGCTGGGCGGAGAGCCTTTGCTTCTTGGGTGGCGTCAATGCGTTAGGCATATGAACTGCCGTCATATGCTTACCTATCACATGCCTGCGGATGTCAAACGGATGTTCGAGAGACGGCCCACAGGTCAATGACATTTCACTCCGCGTATTGTCTTGTGATTTCGAAAGCAGGAGAGGAAAAGAAATGTGTCCCTTTAACGGAAACGTTCTCTGTACACGATAACCGCCATGATTTGTAAATGATATTCCGGTTGTATGACGTACTTTATTTAAGGGACACGTTGAATATATTAATATTAAAGGTATTCATTTCGAGTAAGTACGTGGGACCAATGCGAAAATCAGAGTTACGCCGACTTCTATGTTAAAAGTGAAAACGGAGTTACAGATATGTAGAAAATAAAGCTCTTATAAGCACGTGGCAGTACGCTAGGAACAGATCAGAAGTCGGACAAAACACGTACGCGCATATGAGAGAATAATATTAAAATGGATATTAAAGAAATGGGGTTATATGATATGGACCAGATCAGTATTGAGACATGAGGCGAACTATTGTAAGGAAAGTTGTCTTTTGTCTATTTAACGACGCCTTGTAAACTGCCCCTTAACTTTCTTAGAAGAACTTAGAAAATGTATTAGAATTTTTGATTTGAAGGTTTCAGACATTTTAGAGGAGCATGCTTTATCCATCATTAGGGTAATCGTTCTGATGATGGAGGCTGCAAGCACCTTTGAAACATCGGTAAACTTCTACTAGATTGCGTGGCGCAACAACTCAGAAGACATTCATCTGAATTTAACTAACTCAAGATGGAGTTTGGTATTAATTATTGTCCAAGTTTAATAAAAATCGGAAATATTTTTGGTACATAATAATTATGATTTTTTCATTGTAGTCAACAATTACGATATTGTTGAAGACGCGTGTGAATATGAAGTTTCAAGAAGTACTCTACTCCATGAAGCCTAGTCCCATTGTGATTTATACATTAGCCACGTAATACCAGGCTAGATTAACAACACGAGAGACAGAATTATTTCCATGTTGTTTCTCTTCAACAGTGGCGACTCTGATGTGTCTGAATAGCAATTCAGCGTACAAGGGCTTGGATCGAGCTTTCTGTGTGCGTATGAAGTCGACGCTTACCAAGAGAGGTTGCCACTTCAAGTCTTCTGGTTATCGGGTATGTTCGATACAAATTGAATGCTTTAAATAAAAAATTGTAAAAAATAAATCGGTAGAACAGAACTTAATGATAAGCGACAGTATAAGGACCTCATGTACAGGTATGAAAATATAAATATCAAGAATTTTGCTCTGTTTTTTATGAAGGTATACACCTGTAACGGTGACCTCTGTCTTTCTCCGAAGTTTTATAAATAATAACGTATTTTCTAATTTCTAAATTCTCACAAAGTCTTTTTTTCTTAATAGACTTCGTTTGTTGTGAGTCACAAGCTCTGATGGAACACGTCAGTTTTCTTCTTGTAGAATTCAAAAGTATTGTGTTCTTAGACGTCTTGAGGGACATGCTGACCTCATCTTCTCGCAGTACAGCGCATGCTCTTATTTCGGTAACAGTACGCAAGTCGTTGAATGCCGAAGTGGATTGTTCTGTTAGATTTTCGTTCTTTTATGAGTCATATAAGCGATAAAGTGGAAAGGCCCATTCACCAAAACAGTTGCAAGGAAGGGTATCGAAAGGTCTAACCTCTCGCGGTACGCGTGACAACAAATGAAGCTACAGAGGGCGCTCATAACGAACAAAAGATTTTTTGACTGAAAACAAAAACGTTGCTCTTTTGTTCTTTTGTATATCGTCAATCACGTTCGACACTTACTTAGGAGATGATTTTGTTGTACCTTACCGAATCATAAAAGTTCTTCATGGTGGGACTGCAGTTACCTGTTTTTCGTCCTTTGTCCTTTGCCGTTATAAGCATCGCTTCCTTTAATTGCAACTAGATATCTTCATTACAGCGTTTCCCTTTAATGGACACGCATGACCGAGTATTGAGACAGATTATCCTGTCTCCCATAGTGAGAGGCCCTTGTTTGTTGTTTAGGTACTTCGGGTTTTATGGCTGACACGTGCCGCGAGCCTGGATTGCCCATTAACCTACGTGCACAGTTCTTACTTATGTTGGATTGACGGCAGGGCTTCCGAGTCGGCCAGAACACAACAGGCGGTGAATTATTTTCCAATAAAATGACCGTAGATTTCAAGTGTCTGTAAAAGGGTTGAATTTATTTGTTAAATCTAAAGCATTTTACCGATGTTGACTGGAAGGAACTTAGGGTTCTCTCTCTGTGGATATTTAAAAAGAATAAAACTTCGAAGGATACCAGAGATTATCGACACGTAAATGGAGGAAACTGTATTGGCGGGCATCGTAATTTCGAAAGTTAAACGAAGAAGATACTCGATTGGAAGATATAAGAAAAGAATATGACTTTTATTGAAAAACCTTTCAGAAGGGGGTCATATGAAATACCAGAATATAAAGAGACGTTGCTATTAAAACAGATCGCAAACAGGGATGTAATTAATTAGTTTATTCTCTTAGCTTCGTTGGTGACAGTCATAAACTGTCGAGTTTCTTTAATTTTCCGAATAATTGAATTATAGAAATATTTCAGAGTTCCTGTGTTCCCATTTTTGTACTTCGAACTGCAAAATTTTTGCTTCAGACTCCAAATGATAATTGCGCCCAAAACAATTCATTCTGTATCCATTAGTTTGTTCTAATTTTAATTTCTCATTGTTGACTCCTGGGTGTTCAGTATCTTTGTCCTTTGTATACTTTGGATACATTTGTTATTGCGAATTGTTGTGTTATTTAACCCTTCCCATGCTCTGAACTCTGTGTTATGTATGTTCTTGGTGTATTGAAATATTAATGAAAATATATTGTCGGTGAGAAGTCTTAAACTTGGAATAACTCTGTTACGTTTTCCTACTCTCCGAATATTTTATTTTCATTTCAGTCTCTTTCTTTTCTCCTTCCTTCGACCGGTGAGGCAAAGTTTTTCGTGATCTACAATTTTCGCACTTTCACAAGATGGCTGTGTTTGCAGGTAGTGCTCGTCCTTTGCAGACTACGACCCCAGTACACCTTCTCACACACCCGCAAATCGTCGCCGCCATTGCTGGGTATGGTGGCCATCGCCATGGCACTTCCCCCACCAAGTGTCCACGAGATACGCCTCGAGTCCGACATGTTTGTTACCCGTATCAACTTCGACTTCCGGATAGCACACTGCGAGCCCAGGTAAAGCCGATACTGCTGCCATCTAACGTTATCTAAATGCATTGTGCAGGTTTCAAGGAGTTTCGATGTTATCTCTCTGTTTGCGTGTGGACATTAATATCCGTGCATATTTTTTTCCAAGAGTTCACCCTTTATTTTCCTTTCCTTTTGTGTTTTTCCTTAGTTGCTTCCTTTTTTGTCTTCCGTTATATCTGTTTTCCAGTTTATTTACTTTGTGCCCTGAAGCGTGTTTTTGAATCTGACTGCAACGCCCGTTTAGACGAATTCCCTATGTGAATGTTTCAGAGTGTCGGAACTTCTAGATTACTCTGCTGAGGAGTTGACCGGGAAGAATTTGTACGCCCTGTGCCATGGCGAAGACGCTAACAAACTCCGAAAATCTCATGTCGACCGTAAGTCACTTCACTAAATAATTATCCTTCTTGGTAATATATCTAACGCTATTAAAGTGGCGTTATCGTGTTCCCGTGAATCATCGTTCTATTTGGAAAAGACGTTGGCCGACAGTCGCGTTGCCAAGGCCACTGGAAGGAAGAACTGACAGCGATACGTTTTTCTGCACTTGCTGAGGCTTACTATTTTATTTAATGGCTGTGCTCTGCGATACGTCGGGATTCCCAAGTCATGTTACGAAGCTGCAAGTCACAAGAGCAGTGGTTACCTTTTAATGTATTATTTCCCGCTGCGACATTGCGTAAATATTAGTTTTTGTACGCAAAGATTTGTTCGGAAAATATTAATGGAAGAGACCTGGACGTAGATTTTAAAATACGTCTTCGGGAAATAGAATGTTAAGTATTGAACTGGAATCAACTGACGTGTTTTTTTTACAAACATGGCAACCAATTTCTTAATGTTCTGTAAAATATAGAAATAATTATCGACTTTTCTATTATTAATATAGTTTGGATTCGTCTGTAACTTTTCTACCTGCGTAGACTATTACGTTGTATTTGGCCTCCAGAAACCTCCGCGTTGTAGATAAATAGGCTCCCGAGTGGATGCTGGAAGTATAAAAATTCTCACGTTGGTTGTCACCAGGGAATTTTTAAGCGCTGCTTTGCTGCTATTTTCAGAGCCTTTGTTACGAGGATTTTCACCCACTGCCCGCCCTTGCACACTTTTCTTTCCCTCCTCCTGTTCTGTAACACAGTTTGATAGCTTCAGTCTCTTTGGTTCGCGCGGGATGTGCCAGTGGCGTCGGGTTTCCTGGGTTTCGAACCCGGTTTAGTGTTTATGAATTCTAGTTCATAAACACGTAATCAAGATTTGTTGTACATTTATCGTATGGTATTACTTGTATTATTTTGCTTAATTAAGGCTCTTAACTGATGTAAGTAATTAGACTAAATAAATTATGTACCAAAATACGCGAGGAACTTCGAGATCGATATTAAAGTTGCGATTACTGAGATGTGGAAATCTGTTGTGGACGGTGGACGCAAATAAATGGTGGAGGATAGCTTAAGACCTACCAGACCCAGAGGAAGGCCAGCGTGGACATTAAGTTGCCGGATTGGTAAGGACAGTGCACGTAACGCCACTGTTCTCTTCAACCTGCCGACGAAACGAGGACTATTGAATTGTTGGTGCTACTCTGTGTAGAGACTTGTCGTCTAGCTGGGGTGGGAGGATAGGGTTTTGAGTATTCACGTTGCGTCCTGTCTCCGGATGTGCGGCACATCTCAAGTTGGTTGTAACGTCCCTTTCTGTCTCCAAAACCTCCCCTCTACACCCTCCTCTCACTCTCTTTCTCTCTCTCTCATTTGCCTTGCATCACGTTCTGAATTTTGTCTTCGGTTCTCTTATAAAGCGTCATTCCAAAAATTTTACTTTTCTCATACACTCTCTCTCTCCCATTTTGTCTTCTTTTGAGGTCTACCTCTTTGTCCTTCACTCCTTTTTCTGATACCCCCCTCTTCTACCTCCCATATTGTCCCAACCTCTTCTTGTAAGACTTAACGAGACAAGACAAGATAGTAACGAAAAGCAAAACAAAGGATTGCAACGACAAAGGTATTTTCAAGTTTCCCTCAAGATTTGTCCGTTAATCTCGCTTCTCCTGTGTGGCTGCTACTGATACAAACGTCCTTAATCTTGTGAACATGCTATTATTGAAGATTTCTGTCTTCTGGGTTGTCGCCCTGATGATGGAGGCAGTATGACCTCTGAAACGTTGGTTGACATCGACCAGACTACACAGCGCAACAACCTAGAAGACAGAAATCTTCATACTAAGAATCGCCCTGATGACGGAGGCAGTATGACCTCTGAAACGTTGGTTGACATCGACCAGACTACACAGCACAACAACCCAGAAGACAGAAATCTTCATACTCTCCGCTGCGAAAACGTCAAAGCTTTCTGAAGTTTGCTAGAACAGAAACTTTTAGTGGTTTATTAACGTCCTATCAACTTACATTAAGATTTGTACTGCGTCATTAAGTTTGTCATATTCTTATTTTAGAATATTTTGCAAGCGTGTCTGATTGCATAAAACATGTACTGGTGACTAAATGTTTATTGATTTGTGTATTGTATTCAATATTTGAGACTCAAATTCATTTCAGTTGAATCTAACAATGCGTTTTCCTCTGCAGTGATCAACAAGGGGCAGGTCATGACTCAGTATTACCGAGTTATGAACAAGAACGGTGGATATACATGGGTACAGACATGCGCCACTGTCGTCTGTAACTCCAAAAATGCCGAGGAGCAGAACATCATCTGCGTAAACTACGTCATCAGGTACGCCGTCTTTTATAGGCGCTTTCGAGAGCTTCGGTAGTGTAAATAGTTTCCCGCTAAAACAACTGTGGCGTTAGCCTAATAACTCACCTCTAAGAGCCACTGCAATGTCGCATTTCTCCAGTCTTCCCTCAACGTCTTTGTGACGTGGAATTGATTCACATGAATAACTTCACCGTCGCTAAAAATACAGTGAGATAATTTCTGAGCGTCCCGCTAGGAGGTGTATCTGTCTGGCGGAAGAATCGGGCTTTCCTTCCGTCAAGCGGTCCGCGGAGACCGGTGCTGCTAGTGGAACAAACAAATCTGAAGCCTAAACACGCTTAAAATGAAACTTCCGTTGTTTCGTGCGCATTCCTGGCGTGAAATTCTCTATTTAGTGGGGCGCTCGGAAAAAAATCTCGCCACGTAACCAGTGAACTTCATCGGAAGATTTGTCGCACACAAAAATGTAGTGCGTGCTTAATCGAGTATTAAGATGGCGCTGTGGTATTTTCAGCGGGCGGGAATACGAGAACTTGATCATGGATTGCTGTCAGCTAGAGGACAGTGTGCAGACCGTTAAGAGGGAGGAGACTGGAGGCAACGATCCTGAAAATGGGTCTCCGGGAGCTGACCGTGGTGGTGAGTACAATCAGTGCTGATTTGAACATAAAAATGTATGGCTCCAAGACAGTAATTTATGACGTTAAACAAGAAGGAATGTCTTCGTTTGGGTTTAATATGTAGCTCGGATGGGGAGAAAAGACACAGCGTTGGTAAAGGAAACGGTGATAAGTCTGAAACCTGAAAGAAAGAGAAGAAAATAACAGGCAAACACCCAGACGAATATCTGGCTGTGGGTTATTAAATAGCTTGTAGGATGTACGAAGAATTTGATGCGTTAAGTAGGCCAGAACTTAACAGTCAGTTTAGCGTAATAATTTACGTACTCTAAGTTTCTGGTGAGTGGGAGAAGCTTCGTTTTGAAAGCAGAACGTAATCTGGCTGAATAAACTAGTGCGAAATAACAGAATCGCCGTGAGTAATCGGCAAAGTTCGCAACACATGTGTTGTGCGGGTCAGTCTAAAAGATGTAACACGTTTTTAGACGTAAAATTAAACATTCAAGTGGGAAAATTATATATGCGTCCTCTCTTTCGTTCTTTATGCCTGAGTAGTGTACATTGTATTTCTCTGGGATTTTTCAGGCTCGTATTTAAATTACGGCGACTTCGACCCAGTAATATTGTAAAATAATACAAAAGGAGAATTATTTTATCTTTATCCCTGCATCTTTACTTGATTCATTCCCTGTATTTTTCTCCTGCCTGCCCTTCCATCTCACAACTTTAAACACCCGCAGTTTTGGCACATACTTCGTGAGAGGCTCAGTTAATGGGAGCTACAAACACCATCCCAACGAAATGTATTCTTCCTTTTTTTAATTTTCTTCATGCTAAAGTTTATTGCAGAACCATCTTTTGACAGATTACTGCAAACAGAACTTAATATAGAAGAGTGGTTGTGCTATCTAGCGGTAAAGCGTGGGCACTAAGTAGAAACCACCTCCTTTTCATAAATCAATACCTACGAAAGAGATGACGTCAGTGACTTCGCCCATACGCCCTCTACAGGTGGCAGACTAGTTGAAATACGTGATTCCATTGGATTTCAGATCGATTATTCCGTATTATTTTAATTCCATGTCTTTCTTCTTCCAAATGTCAGAAGCCATAAAATAAATAATACATAAAAATTGCAAATGCATCATTGGGTCTTTTCTCGATAATCTGATCGAGTGGAACATAAAAGGCCTAACTGTAAGTCTGACCATAGCAAGAAACCAATTTCTTTTATACGTTAACAATTATGCTTTACACATCTGGCGATGAACGATCCTGCGAATCTTTGAAGTTAATGTGTCAAATTTAACGAAATCGTGATAAGTACTAGTGAATATGGGTTTCTAAATTTTATAATTCCTAATTTAAAGTCCCTGCTACATCATCAAAATTGCAGCAATAGGCAGAAATGGGCTTTACAAGTTCATCCCAGAACTTCTTGGTGGCTGAATTCGAACACAGCTTTGCTTCTACCCTAAAGGTCGGAGTAGTGGAGGGCCACCCAACCAACAGCAGGACCCCCATCGGTCCCCGCCAGATCTGGATGATGGTTCCTCCGAGGGCCCTGGTGACCAGCATGGAGGGCGAGGCGGTCGAGGCCATCTCGACCACGTCACGCAGCTGCAAGGTTCTGCCGCACAGATGACGTCTCAGGCGGTGGCAGCGAATGTGGATCACACTCATGTAAGGCCATTTGTACGTTTAAATATATATTGAACGCCGTACGATATGACAAGAAAACTGTGCCTTACCGACAGCACCAGTTTTATAACTTCAGATTTAGTCTACCACCACTTCCAGCAACAAAAGAACGCGGTTTATTGTGTTCAATTCTCATATGTTGCAGCTGGCAGGAGGGCTCAGTATCCGAGCACTCAAGAAGATTACATCAATTGAGAAGGATCTGTCAGCATCGAGACGCGCACAGAAACGTAAGCTCACCCAGCAGGAAGAAGACAGTAGCTGCTGCAGCTCGGACGAAGATGATGACGAAGATGACGAGCCGTCAACTGGACGGGGAGGAAAGACTCTTCTGCATCACCAGGCGCATCGGAGCACCGTCCTCAGTCCAGCATCGTCTTCGTGCCATTCCTCAACGACATCTTCCTGTGTTCCAGCAGCGCCTCCAGGCATTGCATCCTCTTCTGGAGGAGGCCTCGTCATTACTGCCGAACCCAACTGCGTGAGTCCCAAACCTTCGGTCCAGCATGATGATACTGATGGTGGTGGGGGCGGCACGTCCGTGAAAGATCTGGAGCACGCCATGTCGAAACATCTACCTTCAGTGTCCCTCGGCAAGGGGGCCACCGCTTCATCACCACCCTTATCACTGCAGCATCAACCCACAGACTTTAGTACAGATGCTTTATTGAAACAGCAGCAACAACGAAGCACTATCCAGTGGATAGGAGCACATCATCATCACCTGAATCATCTGAATCACCACCAGCAACTGCAGCACTCGCAAGGATCTTCAGCGCCGCTCCCAGCATCAGCCCTCCTCAGACAGCTGTACGCGAATCGGGAGAGCGTGATCCGAGCAAACGTGCACGCCGCGACGTCGGGCATGCCGTCGTCGACAGGACGAGGAGGCACGTCTTACTACGCAGGAGATGTGAACCAAGTCGGCCCACTTCCCACACCTCCAGGCAGCGAAGGCTCCTCCACTTACGGGGACCACCAGTTTGTGTTGTCACACAACCAGAAGTCCGGTGCAGGCTTAGTGAATGGAGGGGCTGATGCATTCAGCAGCTTAGTTTCTTCCTATTCCACGACAGGATACTCTGTGGACTACCACTCAGCCATGACGCCCCCTTCTTCTGTGTCCCCTAGGGATAAGCACCAGCAGCAGCTCCACTCTGGAGGTGCTTTCGATAGTCCCGCGTACTCAGATGTGTTAAGGCATCAGTATCTAAGTGGTGGCGGTGGAGGAACTGATGGCACTCCTGCACAACCTCTGCCTCTGAAACCCCAAGTATATTCAGCCATGCATCCTAGCGCGCTGGATGCAGCCGCGGCATACGCTGCTACAACGTCCCTCGACCAGTCGCAGTTCTACCACCATTCTGCTGCAGGGGCAGGATTTCATTTGTATCACCCCGCGACTAACAAGACGGTGACAGCCACAGCGACAGTCTACCCAGAGGCTTTAAAAAACTCTGCAAACTGGTATTCCACTGCGTCGTAGTATGAGCAGGCGAATACGCGATGACTTAACTGGTATGAACGGTGGACGAAACAACCTTCTGCAACAGAACAGATTTCTGTCCCCTGCTTATTCAAAAGATTCGTTGGAAGAAACCGCACAGGTGGTTATTCGAGCACGTAACCAGTGGGACGACTTGAAGGATGTATATAAAGTAACCTGCATCTACACTCTAAATATTTTCTTAGGTGATATTTGTCTGAAAAACTGTTTCCCACTGATGTGCAGTTTGAATGGGCAGTAATGTACTTAATTACATTTTAAGTAAGTAAGGAAGATATGACACTTTCATCGTAAAATATATATCGTCAGATTTAGTGTACCACACGTCCTTAAGACCAGATTTTTCATTTATTGAAACTAGTTGACGAAAACAGAAAATGCAGGAGCATATTAATGTTTTTGTTCTTCTTGAAGTGCATATACATTCTTCTTCTTCTATGGCTCTCCGGTCCGTGTTCGGTCCATGGCCTCCTCAATTCTCTTCCATTCAGTCCTATTGTGTTCAAGGTTGAGGTTTCGAAACATCTTCCTTTTTACGGTGCAAGGTTGTTAGCCTTGCGACCAACCCCCAACCTGGAGGGCCAGGGTACCTGTCTTAGTCTGACCTCTCCCCCTCGACCAATCTGGCTAGGGAGGCCCTACCAGTAGCTCTTGGGGTCACTGAGGTACTCAAGCCCCACCACCACGACAAGGTGCAGGTACCATTAAGTGGGGAGTGCATATGCATTCCACTCGACATATGTTAACAGAAAATCCGATCGTTTATTAAAATCAAACAAGCATTTAAATATGGATCGGCAAACAACTTTTATATCACATAAGAATGATTTGCTTGAGGGGCGTAGTATATAATAATTTTAGAGTTCAAAAACAAATTCTTTTTAAACCCACAAGGATATCCTCAATCCCATTTTGGGAGAAAGGGAACATTTTGTGAGATCGTAAGTTATAAAATATATATATTTCTGTGATGGGCTGTTGAAATGTATAGCGTAATACTGATATCTGCCATTTCAAGATTTTCGGTGCTGTTTTAAACAGAACATTTTATCAAAATTACTGTCATTGTTCAATGCTAAATGTTAACTGAACTCCTTCTTATCAGTCAAACAGGAGAAGCGTCTAAAATCACAATCGACACAGAGTGCGTAAAGAATGGCATACAGCTTTAAAATTGTTTTGATTAATCTATCCGTTCATTGCTTGTGCGGCGCTCAAGACATCTACGGCAAACATGGCAGTTACCTGAAATAAATGTCAAAAGGTTAGAAGATTTCTGTCTTCTGGGTTGTTGCGCTGTGTAGTCTGGTCGATGTTAACCAATGATGACTCGCCCTGATGACGGAGGCAGTATGACCTCTGAAACGTTGGTAAACATCGACCAGACTACACGGCGCAACAACCCAGAAGACAGAAATCTTCATACTCACCACTGTGAAAACCTCAGATCTTACAGATGTCAAAAGATTTTATGATAACGCCCATAAAATTTCAACAAACGTGACTCCGGGTTCAGAAGAGACCGCCACAAATGTCACCACACATCCTGTATATAGAATCACTTTCAGCTCCATTTAGGTGTGAAAGTTTACTGCTGGTTTATTCGATGGGCATTGATCGCAGTACGTGAATACTGTGACCTGACTTGTATAAAGCGAACAGTGATATTATACAGCGTATAATCACACGTGTACACGTGAAATAATTATGGTGTGTCGACTGCAAATTATTTCACAACGCACAGAGAATGATTAGATTTTCATATTTCGCATTTCTTTTTTGTGCGAGGGAACCGTCGAGATATAAGTTTTGTTTCCGCACAACTTTTAAAGCGATCAGTTAAATGAATCTTTGAAAACCAAAATCTACATTCTAAGGTGCACTGATTCCCAAGATGTTAATTCGGTATTGTTGGTTTTACGAATATTAAAATTTTCTTAAGCTGTGAAGTTTAACTAAGAAAAACTATGAATATGGAGTTTGTTGTTGTAACTGTGACATACGCAACAGGAAGTAGAGTTTTATAATTGTTTAAAAGCACTGACCGTATTCTGGTAACAGTATCCTGTACTGTACCATAATTTGTAAGGGATCAGTACAGATCCTCTAGTATATATCTTCAAATTGAAACTTTATAAATCCAAAATAGAGCCAAAAACAATTTTCAAACATTGTATGAAATACAGTGTAAGTTTATGAAGATGACAGTGTATAGTATTTGAAATCACCAAATAGGTCATAATTTTGAATTTAGGAGCAAAGATGTTTGATTTTAATTGTTCAGATGCTATACCAAAAGTTTCCACTTTTTATCACATCTTGTTTTAAACTTTAGGATGTAAGATTAATTCCTCTGTTAAAAATGAGATCAGTTTCACAAGCTTACCACATGTGATTTTTTTAAAATATTTTTAAAAAATGATGATGATAATTTTTTGTTCAATATGTTGATGTTGGCTCAAAGTATGACGTGCAATAGAATGTTTTGTAGAATGCCATACCTATGAAGTAATGAAGGTGTGGTTTATTGTTCATATCCATATGTTTATTGTTGCTCTGTTTGTAAAATGTATAGCAGCTATTTCATACTTAATTTTGAAAAAGAAAAACAGTTTGGTTATGAAAGCTATTAACATTGTTCCCATGACAAGGTTACTTGCATATTTCTTGGTCGAGGACTCGTTTCTTTAGCTGGGTTTGCGTGGAATGAATATTTCAGCTATACAGAAGATTTCTGAGATGGCAAACAAGAATCACATAAAGCTTGAACCTTGTAAAATAAAATGTGTAAAATCTGCAACAATATAATTGTACCAGTAGTTTTCAGTAATTTTCTCCAGTCAGTCCAGTTAATGGAATGAGTTCTCAGTGTATTTACTTTAGTGCATCTCTTCATTCTGATAATGATTTGTTGTTATTTTTGTCAATGAAAGAATATTGTTTGTGAAAGATGTTACAAGACACCTTTCACGTAATGTGTTCGTTATTGTTAGGTCATTTTCCATTTGTTGGATAATAAATACATGAGTACAAGGCTAGAACTGGGAAAAAAGTATGATAGTATCTAGATCAATCCATATATTAATAAGATTTGATCTCATGTCTGCATCCTAGTAAGTTCAACTGTAATTTTACTGGAAAAATATGCAGTTGATCAAAGGACAGAAGTTCGTATAAGTAGTAAAATATCAGTTAAGTCCTATTATGTGATAATATCACATAAGCTTTATTCTTGCTTGATATGTTAATTTGAAATTTCTTCAGAATGATGCAGACAAACAAGCAAGATTATTAGGGTATTTGTTCTTTCATCATTGCTCATTACTTAATACTATTTATTATTTCATGAGACTGGGGATAAAATATAAAGTAATCAACCCAAAGAGTAGCCTGTATCCTGCATCCTATTTCATTCCATGCCTATTATACAATAGTTCTGGAATATACTTTCCAATAGGGGTTAGAAAGCATTAGGAAACCTGAAATTTGTATTTGGAATGTGGCCATTGTTTTCAAATCTGTATTGCTGCTGTAATGCAAGATGTTCATCTACCTTGATATCATACCATATAATTGACACACAATAAAATTTTATTGCATATTCATATATATAACAGTGCATAAAAATATATTTCTCTAAAGGGTACCATAAAATCAATTTTGCAAAGCACCTAAATTTAAAAGAATTAAAGTACACCAGTTTTGTCTTCTAAACTTTACAGTAATAGCTTTAACACACTAAACAGTTTGTAGATATCACATATGACATTTATGTTAGTACTTGATTTTCCAAATGTCGTACAGCTTCCTCCAGAGCAAACAGGTGCTCATCTTGAACGCCTGGAGCAAGAAGGCGCATAGCAGATGCCAATTTATACAGATACTCTATATTGGTCCCACTTGGACCCACAGAACCAACAATCTGCTGTGCAATACTTTCTATATCTGCAGCACCTGCAAAATACTCATTATCTTCTGTACCAACATAAATCACAAGATCAAAAGGTTCATGAGGAAGTTGTGAACACTTTGAACAATCATGAAAGTGTTTTCCCAATTTATTGTTTTCAGGGTCAGAAGGATAAAATTTGTCAGTTACTTTATTATATCCATTTTTTTCTCGTATATCAAGCTGTTTTGTAACAAATTCTTCATCCTCTGCAGCTATCTCATATGCAACACCCCAAACTTCGGCCTGAAAAAATGTAAGAACATGATTCAAAACAAAATGACTTGAGTACATGAAGAAGTGACTATCATTTAAAACAGTAGAAGTACAATTTAGATTAAATATCTATTGCATTTCTTGTTTCATATTTAATTGAATTTAACAATCTTCTTATCTACATTGTACAATATGAATTAACACTTTCGAACATACGTAACTAAATTCAGAAATCAAAATGTATTCAACCAAAAGCTTTAGGTAGTAACAGAAAACAGGCTGAGAGAATGGGTGGTCTTTGAAAATGTGTAACTATATTACAGAATATCACAGAAAATTTCCATGTTAGACATTCCAAGGGAAAAAAAGGTAAAGTTTTAAAGAAATTCTCAGTTAATATGTAAATGGAAATAATTTGAAGGTACTTACTTCAGGATCGGAGGATGGCAAAATTGTAACCACACGTCCAGGCTGAAAAATATTGTGGATATATTTAACATGAATATGGGAGTTTGGGTTTTTATGACAATGAAATGTTGATGGTAGTGTTTTGGGTTATAAAACCATATAGTTTTATCCTGATTACCTGCGGTGGCATCACAACCTAGGCCACAATCCACAAATTCATAAATGATGTTGATAATAAATTCTTACAGCTGACCTGTGCAAGACTTGTATAAATTTTGACTCGTAACCTTTACACAGGTACTGAATTATGTTAAACAGAATAGCTTCTTTTCTGAATTTTAATACACAATAACATTTCCCTTTCATAGAATTAATTATTTTAAACAATATAGCTTACTAGCTGAATGAAATGGCACATCCAGACATAAGTACAAAAGTCGCTATGATTTTTAACCTACCCTTACCTTTCCTGGGACCCCTCTATGGTCTTCACTAGCTTGCCAAAAGCGTCGCATGTAACCTTTAATGTATCCAATTAATCCGTGTCTGTAAGGGAAATCAGCTTTCCACATCAAAGACCCGTAACCAAATATCCACATTGCCCAATATAAACTGAAACTTTTGTACAATACTGAAATATTGTCAGAAAAGAACCATTTACATTAAAATATAGCAATATTCAATAACCGTTTCCCAACAGGAATGATTTTAGACTTTTTAAGCATCGCTTAAATAGAGACGTCTTCATATTCTATGAACTCGATTTGAAGGTTAAACCCGACATCTCATGTTTGATTTCGACCAATTCAACTTTCGAATTGATTGACAAGAAACATGTGTACCAACATATGAGAATAATTTTGTTTCGCAATTCTTAGGAAATAGCTTAAAACATTTCTTAATACTAAAAGCAATGCGTCGTTTTAACCACTTCGATAGCAGGAATTACATGTTATATAATAGGGTGTAATTATCTTCTGTTTCTTGTCTCATCATTTTATAGCATACTCAATAATACTAGTTGCAGATGCCACCTTCCATTTATATCATCACATACTGTGCAAGAGATTTCTGCCACCTGCAAACACTTTGAGAAAGGACAGTGTTGGTCACATTGAATACTTGCAGGAAACCAACGTGAAAACAATATATATATTTGTTCACAGCCCCATTTATTATATCAGTGTTGGTCATGTGAGAAATGGCAGATTTTGTTGGGTGGAAGTTGTGTTGTACTAATTTATGATGTAAATTTATTTAGTTTTCTTGTTATAAATGTGGCCAGTGACATACAGATAAAAGGCAAAGTGACAATTTCTTGTTAACAACTGGTGCAAACTGAAGATCTATGCTTGTGCATGAAAAGTTGGTTACACATTGTGGAAGTTAAGTTTAAAGGTGAGGACAAAGGGCTAATTTTGTGTTTCAGGGATGTTTCTCATGTCTTTTAGTTATTACTGTTTGTTAAGCATAGATGTCCTGCAGGAGTAGGCCATGTTGTAAAGAGGAATCAGTACCAGTTTGGTTTGTGAGACCCTGCATCAATATTATAATCTAATGAAATACTCAAAATTAAACTTGCTGGCAATAGGATAACTACAAGTTTGTCATGAATGAGTAGAAGTGTGAAAAGTACCTTTGTATGTAAGTAAGTAAAAGGGGTGGCCACCGAAGTGACACTTTCACTGTAACCATTAGCTAATCTTTTGAAAAGTATGCTTAGAGCAACCTGTAATAGTACCTCCTTTGGAACTACACATTATCTATCCTCTGATTCAAATGCAAATTTTAGTATTGTAAGAGAGTAATTGACTAATTTTTATGAGGTTCTGTGTGAACATTAGAGGCCTGCCTATCACAGGGTATCTCCTCATCCTTGTACTGTTTGTGATCAACAGTATTCATGTGATTATCATGCAGACTTGTGACAAGCAATGTCACATGCCATTGACCTCTAGAGTCGGCAGTTTTGTGTAGTTTTTCAAGAATAATTACTGTTTAAATGCTGTCTTAGTTGCATATTTCAGAATTTCAGAATTTGGTTCTTCAGTGTTCAGCTGGCTGCAAGTGACAAATAGTTTTTTAATTACACATTTATGATCATGACAGCCAACAGAGGAAATGAGTATTCTTTTTTTTCTTTTTGTGATATCCCTTACCTTTGCAAATTTCCTACCTCTATTGGATGAATGACTTTCATAGGTATTATATGATGCTCTTATGAGGAAATAATACATGGTACATCTTGTACAGGATGCTAGACATAGAACTGTAGCCAGTTTAACCTTCTTTCATGATTATATAAGGAAAGCTGGGTTTCACGTTATTCTTTAGATTTCGTCCTTATAAAAATAATATATAAGATTGTGAATTGTGACAACACTTGTTTGTATTAGCAATGAATCTTGGTGCTGATATACACCAGAGGGTTGGTAGTGTTCATTTACTGTTTAATCACGTGTATTGACATTGTGGAATACAATGCAGAGTGTACAGTAGTAATATCGAACTGTGAGGTCTCTTTGATAGCACAGTACAGTAGACTCCTGATTATCCAAGTTGGTTGGAAAATATATTTTTTTACAGATAATCCACAAAAAATTGAAGAAAAACACAGAAATTTAACAAATATGTAAGGTTATTTACAGATATACACTACTAACATTTTTAAAGATTTACTTATTTCAGAAAATATTTTATATAAAATTTAATACAATACATACCAACTTTTTAAAAAAGATTACAGTGAATAGTAATAACGTTCTGTTGTGTTAACATCAGGTTTTAGCAACAGTTGATAAATGTTTATATTATTGTTGTATTCATGAGCTTCGGATCGAAGATTTTGTTTCTTTGCACAGTCGTGGTCCAGGAGGGGGAAGTGAAGAGCTTTTGTCATTTATTCCCATCCCCAGTTATAACCCGAGTGGGAGCTCCATTATGACGTCACTTAGATGACGTAATCACGTTGGGATGAGTCACGTTATCATTGTCCAGGGATGAGCATTGACTATGAACTTCGTGATTTTTCAGGTCACCTAGCATTATTAGAAATGTGACTGGCTACTTCTGTGTCAGGAACAGAGGGCATGAGTAGTGCATACAGAATTTTGGTAAGAAAACGGACACTTGCAAGGACGAAAAGGAATGGGATTATAACGTTAGCATTTATCCGAGAGAGACAGGTTGTGAAGTGGCTAAGGATCACTTCGAACCTTTGGGATCAGTTGTGTTATTACTATGTCTCGAATTGCATACTGCAGGCCCAGTTCCTTAAGAATGTTCAGAGCATGATGTTTGAAATACAGACATAGGAATTTAACTGATATTAACAAGGCAAGTTATCTTAGAATTGTGATGGTCATACGTTACTTACATGTTACAATGGTTGAACTATGGCCGATTGCGTGCTCACTCATTTCTAGTGCAAACAGCGACAAGATAAACGTGATTGGTGGAACGAAATAAGTCGGAAATAACGTTTATTAAATTGAAGTTAACAGCGTGATTTTACATACGCGTATCTCCGTTCATGACTGAGTACTACTAATGTCGTGTCATATACATCATTGCGACTATATTAGATTGGTAAAAATTTACGTACTTTGTTGAAAAAAGTGGTTTTCTTGTTGAATGTTTCCCCTTTTAAAGTTGTTCCCTTTGTTTGTGAATCATTTAACGACCATGTAGCCTCGGGTGACAGGGTGATAAATGAATAACAACGGATTTGGAAAGAAGCGGTCGTGGCTCAACATAACGTACGATCGCGGTATTTGCATAGAGGGACCGATTAAAACCACGAAAAAACCCGAGTTCGGCAGTTCGATCTGCCGGCTGAGTTTTGAACCCTCGATCTCCCGAATACGGAGTGGTAACCACTCGGCTGTAACGAGTTTTTTACATGGGGGCAAACAGGCATTCATGGCAAAGCAAAATGGTGAAGTTTTTTTTAAATTTTAGTTGTGAACGCGATTAAAAATTTAATGACCGTGATAAGAACTTGATTTTGCTGTGAATGGGATTGTAACTCGTAGTGGGAAGTAGTAGACGCACTATCGTGTTTCCAAACCAGTGCGACAATGCAACAAGAACAGACGCGTTGTGCCTGTTGACCGCTTCCTGATGATCGTGTCGTATTTTATTTCAGCTCTATTAACTAACGTTAAAGAATGACATCACATACATTTACACTTCGGCTTTATTTTATTTATTTAGTGTTCTGTCTGAGGACAGGTCCATAAGAACAGGATCCTTCCATCCTTTTCTCGGACTGGGACCTGTTCATATACGTTCTTGGCAGATGATCCAGAAGTGGTTTGCCATTGCCTTCTTCTGTGTGTAAATGGAGTAATTGTTGGGATGCCACGGAGGAACCGGGGAAGCCCCCGTAGGAAAACTCCGTGTTGCCTAGACCACGGCCTTGCCCAACACAAGTTATAAATTCGGGCATCGCCGGGAATCGAACCCGAGACCCCAGGGTTACAAGGCCAGCGTTCTAACCGCTAGACCACCGTGGCAACTTCGGCTTTGTGAGAAATATTAGTTTTTTCTGGTTGTTTTAATGGTTCAGTATTTATGGCGTCTGTGCATATGGAAAATGTTTCATGATTTGATATTTTCATTGGTTTCGGAGATCGTAAACTTTCTTGGGCCTCGGCGAGAGTGAAATCAATGCTTTGATAAAGGTAGAGATAGGCGTCTCTGGTGTTTTCAGCATTACGCTACACAGGCGTGTGTTACTTTCTGGTCTGGATGGAGGTGAGTAGTTAGATTCACGCCCCGGCCGTCTTACCTCCGAGGAAGGAACCGCGGTAACTATTGGTTTGGAAGATGGGTGTGCTACATTCGAAGATAAATTATGTGCTCTGCCGTGAATTGATCGTCGGATGTCGAGCCCATAGCATGGGCATTACATTGCCAGAGCTGGCACACCTCTGTATTTTGGTTCGTCTCCCATGGAGTATGTTCAGTCGAGAATCCATTAATCGATATTCCCAAACGACGTGAAAAGAGAGTGAGCTGAAAAACTTTCCTTCAATTTTGATGCGCCTGTATTTCTTCCGTTTTCCAAGGGGTTATCTGTCAGTCCAGATGCCTGAAGTTCAAGGCTCGTCCAAGGACGGGTGGGTGGGTGAGTTTCTTGAGGACTTGCGTTTTTGTGCTGGGCATCCGTCTGCGTGAGAACACATGGAATGAATATATAATTTTAGTGAAGAAATCTATTCTGTATTGTCGATGAGAGGAGGGTAACGAGGTTGTGAAGATGTTGAGTGGGTGGAACCG